AATCTTGCAGACGATTCATTCGAAGATCTTTTAAGTGCCTCAAGACTGCTGAAGAATAAATGGTTAACAGTGTTCATGCAGAATTTTGGGGTCAAGAGCGGCGAGTCTGCTAGAGGTTGGCGATACATCTAGATGAAACTGTTTGGGACTAAGTCTGAGAGCGAGACTGGTAGAAGTTGGCGATACATCTAGATGAAAATATTTGGGACTAAGTCTGAGAGGGGTTGTCATACGAAAGAGTCAGCAGATTACCGGCACAATGTCGGCATGTTTAGTCAGAATGAGAGTTTGTGTGAAAGAGTGAGAGATTGGAAGAGTGACAGGCTATATTATATTATAACAATTTGGAAATATATTTATGAGGGTGTGATAGTGTGAGAGAGATCGTAAAGTTTGAGAGAGTGAGAGTGGGAGATAGAGTGTGCAATATTCAGTTGAATATCATATTCTGGAAAATTAGTCAGGTTATTCAAACCGTCCATATATTTACATTTGTTATCCATTTACAATGTTGTTATTGATATATTGTTATTTAGAGCATATATTTGTTATTTTTGGAATAAACAACTTTTATTAGGCATATTCTTCTGCTTCATGTGTCAAATCTTGCATGACATCCCTTCCCATTTCTTGAATCACAGTCAGAAATAGATTTAATGTCAGATCTATTATTAAAAGAGAAATTTGTTTTCTCAAACGGGAAAGGGTGAGATTTTCTGTGGTCTGAGGCCAATGAAAAGACTTTCCAAACCTTCTTTAAAGAAGAGTGATACAAATTTGGTAGCGGATCTGCATATTTGGACAGATGAATATTTTTGTAGTTCAGTCGTACCTACGCTATTTATATCACGTCTGTAGTTCCATCAAACTTTCTTTCAAAGAAACTATCTAGCATCGGCCATTTAAAAATGCGTGTGCATCAAAAGTTCAAAGGCCACAGAGTCACGTGATACTAACAAAACGAAAGTTACAGTGATGCCGAACACTTATTTACAATCATCATAAAGGTAATTCTATAATCTTCGGAGGTGTAAAAAATCCCATTTAACAGGTTCTCTTTTTTTCTGTCTCTACCAGCTGACAACTGTCAAAATATCCATCAGAGGCTGGAATAGAGGAAGATGTTTCGGACTATCGACCGACCAGATCTCACGAATTATGAACAACAAAATTTTGTACAAAGACACTGTAAATGAATCAATCTCTTTTGAACTGATGAAGGTTTTGCTTAATTCTTACTTGCTGGGCCCCCACAAACCCCATCCTAACGACCGGGCTGACTACTACCAAACTAACAATGTTAACCTGTCACCTACCAACCAACGAAGAATATTTATCAAGAAATATGATATTTATGAATGACAAGCTACAAGTTTATAAAATCCTCGTTTTTTCATTGATAAAATAATTAAAATGTTATAAATAAACCTAAAGGAAGTACGCTATATGGTTTTACACAGAACTCAACATACAGTATGTTCTACAATATTCTACAAATAGACTGGTTTGTTTGAATAAGTTCAGAATGATCCCCAGGGAGTTACTTCTATTAATCTGAATAAAACGCAAATTTGGATTTGCTTTTCGCGTTTCTGTCAAGGATGACTCTTCTTCCCATTCATGATCTGACAAAATTGTTCTGAATCTCAAGTTATGGTTCATATAATATTCATCCAATCAACTGCTTTGGTCCAAGAAAAATTTGAGGGTGGGGCTCGCATCAATGCGTTTTGGGTGAGGGTTGGAAATATATAAGGCAAACAAGGGTATTTTCAATTCCCCTATATATTAAGGAAAACTAAAATTATAATTCTGTCTACATAGTGTTGTTTCAATAATGGTATTCACTATCTATGTCTTGGTCGGGTGGAATTTCAAGAGAGATGACTTTATCGAGACCATTACCCGTTAAAGAAAAAACACCCAAAGTTTATTAGATGCAATTTTCAAATGATTATTTGAATCTACCCTTGTTATCCAAACAAACAAGTGATCAAAATAAATAGTAACAGAGTAACGGAGTTCAGTATCTTTTACTATTTTTATTCGACAAAGAAGTTTATGTTGCAAAACAACTATGTAACAGCAAGTTCTACGTTTGCTGTGGGTTATCTGTACGTCTGCAACCAAGGCTTTAGTAAGTTTAAATCTGAAGTTAGCGGCCTGATTAAAGTCTTATCGGACATCAACATAAGCTACAGAGGCAATGCTCAGTTCGTCACCATTCTCCAAAACATGGATATCCCATATTGTAGGAAGGTAGACTGAAATAGAAAATAGTCCAAATCAGACAAAGTCTAGTATCACATTGTAAATGAAATGAAGTTTAGGTGATCTTAACTCCCACAAGGACTGATTGAACCAAGTTCACGGCCCCCACCCCCAGAAAAAATCGGCCTCGGGGAGGGGCGCCAACCCACTCAAATCCACGGGCCCTAAGATAGCTAGTTTATTCACTGTTTACGTCCCAATTTTCTGCACGAGATTGGGGTATCCAACTGTACGCAGCATAGAGTAAGTCATTGACCATTCTTCTAGTATCTAAGGCCACGATGATTTGGATGGTGGTTCTTTCTCCAAGGTCACTAACTATTGGTACCTACCCATACTTCCAGTCTCCACTACAGTTTGAAATTTAATACAAGTATTTTCACAGCCAGGTTTCCCTCTAAGCTCCAGTGTTCTGTTTCCAGTATGTACGATATAGATCATATTAGCACCCTCCATCAAGTTATTCTGTAAGTTAAAAAATGTTCATATACTTCATATACTTGTGAATTTGTTAGAGGTGTGCGTCGGACACAGTCGGTGGTCATTTGTCGCCTACCAAAACAAATATATTTATATTTTAGTAACTTGACTACGATATCAATTATGAGAGAAATAGTTACTATATTCATTGTAAATGTCGTTATTTCCGCCCAATTATACCAGGTCTTTCTTGCCAATAGTAGGATAGTTTTTTTTTTTTTAGGAAGGGGGGAGGGGGGTGTTTAAGGGCAAACGTACTGTCTGTGGAGGATTCTATTCTCTTAAGATGAAGATTTACCTTATTCTCAGGCCCGTAGCCAGTCTAAATTGTGTTCGAAGAGGCAAGTAATATATATCCGGAGGGACAATGGTGTATAGTAGATCTATTTGGTAGGAGTAATATAATGGGTCGCTTGTCAGAATTTTTATGCATGTAGCTACGGGTCTGCTTATCTATAGATCAAATAAAATGTTCAGGAATCCGTGTCCTTATTAACTGTGCTGGTTATTCCTATTTAATAAGATGTCACAAAAACTTACCAACAATATTGCCGTAGCCCCCGGGCCATCAATAAGCAGCCGTCTTGAGATCAGTACCTCTGATTTCTTGTTGAGAAATTTAGGACGAGGGAAAATTTTTCTTAAAATCTGACTGGTTAAAATCCGTCTACTGACCCTGTCAAAATATACAACCAAATATAAAATATTGTTAAGTCACTTGGGCATCGGTAGAATGGCGTTTCTATATATAATTAGGTGTCCTAGGGGGAGGGGGAGGGACGGGGCGAGTAGGGGCTATAGAATTGTCAATAGGGTCTAAAAAGCAGTTATATACCTCCTTAAATGCAATTTGAAAATCAATTCGAGGTCAAATGGTTTAACAACCCGCGAACCAACTTCAGAAGCCAAATTATTAGACAAATCAAACAAAGTTAATATATTAATTCATTAATTCTAACTGCAATACATCTTACCAATCAAGATGGAACTGTTTCTCTGATAGTATTGTCTGTTCCAGATTGTCTACCTTCAGTAGATCAGTGGGACGTTTCAACCAGGATACAGTAGATTGAAGAATTATAGACGGATGGTTTAATGTCTCGTAGTTATCTTGAATCAAATCTGTGATATTTGCAATGGTTGTTATATCTGTACTGTAATTCTGAAACAAATACAATTGAATTACAGTGAACGAGTCGCTAGCTTGCTAACCTGACGTTTTATTTAACCATTTGATTGCGGCTCAACGAGTACCATCTCTTCTCAATGTAAAGCTTTTACGAAGTTCGTCTTATACCTTGACTGCTGTAGCCACCTTTCTTGTATCACAGAATGAAGCGATTTCATTGGATTGTACGCTAGCGAAAACAGCCAATCTGAGCCATTATGGCTTATTGTTCACAGACTTTCTGATTGACAGTATTCACAGGGGTACAATCCAATCAAATCGCTGCATTTACACAGGCAACTAAAGCTATATGTGCACGTGGCTGTGAAGTGTTTCCCTTTTTTCATCAGCCCAATTTGGAGCAGAATCTCGCTTCAATCCACTTTCAATGCCACTTGAATTTCAAATACTGTTGAAAATACCTTAAAAACGTCAGAGGAACGCAATATAATAATCACTTGTCAAATAAATGTAAAATGTTAGAAGTAAAGAGGACACGAGGGAAATTTACCATTCATTACCTAGGCAGATTTAGCTTTACGGAAAATGCCGAGGATTGGGTTTCGATGACAAAGCCCAAGAAGACTTACCAGGAATATCAGTGGTCTAGTGAGCATAACACGAGGCAATGTCTTGTTAGCGAAGGTTGGTACTTTGGTCCTGTTAATTAATTTACAGTTCCAGCAATTTTCAGGAACCGGTTCAATATAATAAGGATTCTCCATGACACACGGCATGTTGTGGTACACTGTGGAACATAAAATAGGTATAGTGATGAACATCATTAAAGGGATTGTAAAGAGGTTTTTCTTAACTAACGCATTTTATGACGTCACTAGAGGGGACTGCATAGATATTATTAGTAGCTTCCCTCTGGTGACGTCATAAAACGGGTTAGTTTTAGTGGAATTGCAAGAACCACAGACATCGGAATGAAGATTAGGATGGTGCAAATTGATGCTATCGGTGTCCCCGATACACATAACAATTTTAAAAAACCTCTTTACAATCTCTCTTAGGTCTGAAAGGGCAAACATGTCTAGCCTTGCTCATCTTTAGTCCTTGAGAGCAGCGATCTAGATTTGAAATTAGGAAATGAATTGAATGGAGTTTTGCGTCCTACTTTCCCCGCACCTTGTGATATAGAAAAGACAGATATAGAAATAGTGAGTAAAATTCCTAGTTTGAAGTATCTTTAAAGGAATTATGCGACTTTCGTACATTTCTAGTATTTCTTAAGACTATTTACGTATTTTCAAGACTAAAATCAAACCCCCAAAAAGGTGCATCTGTCACTTTTAAGAATAAAGTCAGTCAGAATGACGTTCCACAGGCTAAAATAAGAAAGATTTCTTTTAAATAAAAATTACTTACTTCCAATATTGAACAACGAATGTAAAGGTAACATCATCAACCGAACGAGTCGCATCACACAATGATCATAGGGTGAATAGATTGGGGTAAGAAGTTTTCCCAGTGGTCCCTGATCTTGATAAATAGCATAATAAATCCAGGTTAATGCCAACAGACCTACTGAGATCAAAACCGCAAAGACAATTCTTTGCAATCGCGTGTCAATTTTCCGAACACGTGTTTTAACAAAATTTCCAATTAGAATCAAATACGGGTAAATGAAGGTGATAAACTTCTGACAATTTTCCTTGATCTTGTGCCATAAAATTTGTAATTCTAAATCTTCATCTAGAGATCGAACAGCACATTGTTTGATTTCCTCATCTGATAGCTGCATTTCTCTTCCCAACTTTCTTAATTCTTCTACGTCGTCATTCAGTTTGGATATCTTGTCGGAATAGCTGGAGTTCATATTGACGATCTCCTTAAATTCAGCTTGAATATTCCTTCCCAGCAGTGATAATCTTATATTCTACTTGTAATATTGTGTGTCCGATTGAATTCACAGCAAAAACCAATACTGACAAACAGTCTATGTTGCTCTGGGCACGTTTGACTTGCAGGCAAAACCAATGCATGTACTATAAAATGACTGTACAATGCTACTGGCTCGTTGACTAACTAATACACCCAGCACTGATAAATCTTCATTAATAAACTGAACAGTATTAAATGATAGAATTGATTAGTATAATAGATAGAATTAAGAGTCGTGTTAAATCCTGTTATAAAATGAAAATATGAAATTATTATATCACCTCCTGTTTTCAGGTTTAACAGATGCTGCTCATAGCCTGGTTAAGAGGTGACACACGAAACCGGATTCATATTTACTGATTTCGTCTTTCCGCCTATAACACCTCCACTTCTACACAATTGTTGTTTATTTTTGTAATTTTTTGAAGGATTTTATTGTATATGCTCAATTAGAGCGAAATGGTGGTAAGAAAAAGTGGTTAGAAATAGTGGTTAGAAATAGTGGTAAGAAATAGTGGTTAGAAATAGTGGTAAGAAATAGTGGTAAGAAATAGTGGTTAGTGGTAAGAAATAGTGGTAAGAAATAGTGGTAAGAAATAGTGGTTAGAAATAGTGGTAAGAAATAGTGGTTAGAAATAGTGGTTAGAAATAGTGGTAAGAAATAGTGGTTAGAAATAGTGGTAAGAAATAGTGGTAAGAAATAGTGGTTAGAAATAGTGGTTAGAAATAGTGGTTAGACTATATCGTCCTTTCAAGGGACAGTTGTGCCATTTTTTTTTACCAATCGTACGTTAGTCTCAGAAACAGGATTTTTTTTTAGCTAAGCTTATCAGTAAAAGTGTTCACAGCTTTCTACCGAGGTTTGTCAGAATTATCCTCGTTTGAAAGTAAAAAAAGACCACTGCCATAAATAGAAAATACATATATAGAAAAAAAATTCCTAGTTTGGGGTGTGTTTGAAGGAATTATGCGATTTTCGTATATGTCTAGTACTTCTGAAGACTGTTTAATTTATTCAAAACTCAAATCAGACCCGAAACCGGCATTGAAATGTTTTTCGGAATCTTTAATGTGCATTGGTGACATTGAGAGCATTCTTAATTATGTTGTTCTAGCAAACGACCTCATATTATTACAGGCATTATCACCTCATATAAGGTTAGCTATTGCTATGACAGGACACATGATATCCGGCTAAAAATTGGTCAGTTGCTCTATCAACTAAATGCAATGATAAAATAGGCTTCGATACATTATTCTGGATATTAACAACCTTTATAGTGCATTTGATTAGTTGAAATAAGACAGTTTCGACAAGAGAGGCTAATTTCAGAAAATCATGTATGACGAGAATGTGAACTCATGGAATGTGAAACGAAACATCCAGTTCACGTATTCTCGAAACGATCTTAGTGAAAGGATATCCCAGAAACAGTGTTAGAAGATAAGAACCCAGGATATCCTAGACACAGTGTTAGAAGTTACGACACTAGGATACCCTAGAAACAGTGTTAGAAGTTAAGACCCTAGGATATCCTAGAAACAGTGTTAGAAGTTAAGACCCTTAGATATCCTAGAAACAGTGTTAGAAGCTAAGACCCTAGGATATCCTAGAAACAGTGTTAAAAGTTACGACACTAGGATATCCTAGAAACAATGTTAGAAGTTAAGACCCTAGGATATCCTAGAAACAGTGTTAGAAGCTAAGACCCTAGGATATCCTAGAAACAATGTTAGAAGCTAAGACCCTAGGATATCCTAGAAACAGTGTTAAAAGTTAAGACCCTAGGATATCCTAGAAACAGTGTTAGAAGTTAAGACCCTAGGATATCCTAGAAACAGTGTTAGAAGCTAAGACCCTAGGATATCCTAGAAACAATGTTAGAAGTTAAGACCCTTAGATATCCTAGAAACAGTGTTAGAAGCTAAGACCCTAGGATATCCTAGAAACAGTGTTAGAAGTTACGACACTAGGATATCCTAGAAACAGTGTTAGAAGTTACGACTCTAGGATATCCTAGACACAGTGTTAGAAGTTACGACTCTAGGATATCCTAGAAACAGTGTTAGAAGCTAATACCCTAGGATATCCTAGAAACAATGTTAGAAGTTAAGACTCTAGGATATCCTAGAAAGTGTTAGAAGTTAAGAACCTAGGATACCCTAGGATATCCTAGAAACAATGTTAGAAGTTAAGACCCTAGGATATCCTAGAAACAGTGTTAGAAGTTAAGACCCTAGGATATCCTAGAAACAATGTTAGAAGTTAAGACCCTAGGATATCCTAGAAACAGAGTTAGAACTTACGACTCTAAGATATCCTGGAAACAGTGTTAGAAGTTAAGACTTTAAGATATCCTAGAAACAGAGTTAGAAGTTACGACTCTAAGATATCCTAGAAACAGTGTTAGAAGTTAAGACCCTAGGATATCCTAGAAACAATGTTAGAAGTTAAGACCCTAGGATATCCTAGAAACAGTGTTAGAAGTTAAGACCCTAGGATATCCTAGAAACAATGTTAGAAGTTAAGACCCTAGGATATCCTAGAAACAGTGTTAGAAGTTAAGACTCTAAGATATCCTAGAAACAGTATTAGAAGTTAATACCCTAGGATATCCTAGAAACAGTGTTAGAAGTTAAGACCCTAGGATATCCTAGAAACAGTGTTAGAAGTTAAGACCCTAGGATATCCTAGAAACAATGTTAGAAGTTAAGACCCTAGGATATCCTAGAAACAGAGTTAGAAGTTACGACTCTAAGATATCCTAGAAACAGTGTTAGAAGTTAAGACTCTAAGATATCCTAGAAACAGTGTTAGAAGTTAATACAATAGGATATCCTAGAAACAGTGTTAGAAGTTAATACCCTAAGATATCCTAGAAACAGTGTTAGAAGTTAAGACCTTAGGATATCCTAGAAACAGTGTTAGAAGTTAAGACCCTAGGATATCCTAGAAACAATGTTAGAAGTTAAGACCCTAGGATATCCTAGAAACAGAGTTAGAAGTTACGACTTTAAGATATCCTAGAAACAGTGTTAGAAGTTAAGACTTTAAGATATCCTAGAAACAGAGTTAGAAGTTACGACTCTAAGATATCCTAGAAACAGTGTTAGAAGTTAAGACCCTAGGATATCCTAGAAACAGTGTTAGAAGTTAATACCCTAAGATATCCTAGAAACAGTGTTAGAAGTTAAGACCCTAGGATATCCTAGAAACAATGTTAGAAGTTAAGACCCTAGGATATCCTAGAAACAGAGTTAGAAGTTACGACTCTAAGATATCCTAGAAACAGTGTTAGAAGTTAAGACTCTAAGATATCCTAGAAACAGTGTTAGAAGTTAAGACCTTAGGATATCCTAGAAACAGTGTTAGAAGTTAAGACACTAGGATATCCTAGAAACAGTGTTAGAAGTTAAGACCCTAGGATATCCTAGAAACAGTAATAGAAGTTAAGACCCTGGGATATCATAGAAACAGTGTTAGAAGTTAAGACCTTAGGATATCCTAGAAACTGTGTAAGAAGATAAGACCCTACGACATCTTAGCGCTAAGTGTCGAGTATATGCGGTCAGATTTGTATTCGTGGATTGTCATGCCATCTCGCAGGCACCTGATCTGTTATATACTTCCATTTGTGTTGCCAATCCAAAGGTTAGATAGGGGAAATCGATAAGGGAATAAAAGTCAGGTTGCAGGTCCCCATTTCACATAAAATCTTAGAATAAGAATTTGTTATTTCTTCATTTGGTAATTTGTGTACCTTTCTCCAATTTACCATTCGTTGTATGATGCCTTTAATGGGTGTATTTGATACAATAAACTTATCTTATCCAAAGAATAACTCCCTCCCTACTTTACGAATGAAATAAAACAAGTCAACTTTGAATTTTACACTTTTATTCTAGACCTATGAAAGTTGAAACATAAAACAACAGAACACGACCTTGAAGCCTACCATACAAGGTCAAACCGGACTTATTAAAACCTGAAAAAAATATCTTCCTTTCACTTCTGTTTCTGTTAATACTGGACTTGAATCAGTGAAACTGTGACTCCGGGGCTTGGCTGTCTGTCTGTCGACGTTGATGAGATGATATTAATGATGATTTTCGATGATTTTACAAGCAATATTCACAGCTTGAGTTGAACATTAATATAGCTTCACATGATTAGTTAATTCAGCTGGCTACAGACCACATCAAATTACAGTTTTTAACACCTAGAAAAAATAAAGTGGTATAATAATACATGATTAACAGGCAGCAGACGGAGAGGAATGCATCAGACATTTTATGAGTTTTGAAAAAATTGGACGCCTTATCTTAAAGGGATACTGTCCCTTAGAATGAACATAAAATATAAATTTAGTGATCTCTCTTAGAGGTAGTATCCCTTCAATTTACCAAGAATTTGTCAAGTCAAATTAGCTGACCTCTTACCCTCCATAAAGCAAACAACATTCTTGTAATTTGAATATTTCCTTCTGGCATTGTTCAATCCATCTCATTCGTCTAAAAATCAAATTTAAAAGTTGGTTTGCTGTATAAAGGGTATAATACATTCTATTAATCTTAATAAAACAGACTGGCTAGATCCAAAATTCATCCCTTTTCCAAAATAAATTTTAAACACGATGTTAATGAGTAAAGCACACAATTTTTACATTTTGTTAGGTGCTAGTCTTTTATTTAACAACCCTAAATCATCTAATGAACTCTTCCAGATAATTCAGCTGCTAGTTAGCTTTGGATAAGTTCACTTGAAGATAAGAGGTAACTGAGGCCTTGAATATACTTCAGTGTTTAACCAGTTGTGAGTTTCCAAAAAAAAAGGTTTTTGTTTTCTGTCTGATGCAAACCTGATACATTTTAAAATAAATTTACAAAATAATATATTATTTACAATAAAAATATAGTACTATAATATAAGGAAATTAGGAATCCACTTAGATACATTGTCACAAACCAAAGTAAACTACCTGTACTATTTCAGGAAGGTTTTATACTTAATTTAGGACACATACCCAACTGGATTCCTAACTCCTATAACTGTGCAATGTTGGCATCCTAATTTTGTATAAATGTGTGTTTACAATCCTAACATTTAAAGGCGATTAAGAAATTTCTTTAAAACAGGGAGAGATTTTCTAGCACTCTTTAGAAATTCAATGCAATATGTTATACACCTTTTAGTCTTTTTGATCATCAATATCGTTCAGCCCAGATACATACACAAAAAAATAGTCATTGGCAAAACCAAATACAATTATTTACTTCTATAACAAGTTAAGATTTCAAAACAAACAATGAATTGGCTTGTTATACAATTAAAAAACTGGGGTTGGCATCGCTGTTCATTATCAAAATAAAGATTAAAAATAAAATGAACACAAGTAACCACAAGATTACTGTACTGAGATATAAAGTAAACCCTTCAACTTTCTGTCCTAATCAATTTATAACAACAAAACGGTTTTGCGTTAAAAATATCATAAAAGATAAAGATAATACAACATCCAGTTTTTTCTTCACAGAGATACTGTTCCTTGCATAAGTATTTTGAGTATAGGATTCTAAAAGTCACAGTTGGGGCGAGATTTGAACAACTTTTCTTAATCTAACACAATAAATACTTTCAGAACTAGCTGACAAAATAGTTAATACAGTCCTAATTCGGAATATGACAAAAAGACACAATAATTTGCTGAGTTTTTTTGAAAACATTACACCTTCTATTGTACATTAATAGTAATTCATTCACAACCTCATTCACAACCTCAGTTATAAAACACACCTCAATTTCATTCACTCGCACAAGATAAAAAGAAATAGTGAAATGTGTATGCAAAGAATTGATAAATATTAAATAAACATTGTACTACACTGTATAATTGTTAAACTAAAGTTCAATCTGTAGAAAAAATTTTTTCTTTAAATTATTCATGGTACGTATCATGAATTTTATTATCTAACTATACTTATAAAATATCATTTTAATCAGTACAATTATAAAGTGGTTAATTGTAGTTTTAAAGTTTTAGAAAATAATTTCCTTTAATATATAAACACTTTTATCAAGAATTAATAAGCATGCATATAAAAATATCATTTTGAAAATCTGGAACATTGACTGGATACAAAATCTACAAAAAGAATCACCAAGACAAATTTGATAAATATAACTCTGGATTTCATTAACACTAAATATAAAAATTCTGAAACAGAAGGATTTATTAGTTTATGACAATGTTTTTAACAGAAATAGAAGAACATGATTTTCAAGTTAAAACCATCCCAAGAATCAATTCTAATATCAGTTTTCAAAACAATCTTATTACTGTACCGATTTGGTCGCAAGTATTCTTCTCAATGTAAAATTCTACACTTACGACAAAGTTTCTTACAGTTACGAACTGCGCACTGTTTCTCGTCACATTTTATGTCATTGCTTGGGAAGGTGTTACACTCGGTAAATACTAAAATATAACCTTATCATCTATACAATTTCAATAAATAACTCAATGTTTAATCAGATATCTTTATCTAAAGTTAATCTTTTTGTTTTAAGTAAACAAGTAGAACCTAATCTTATACCTGGATATTATTAGAATATTAATAACTTGTAACAATATATAGTCCAGTTTAGATAACATCAAATTGGTATACACTTTTTGTATTTTGAACCTACATGAAGAAGAAATTTTCCACAAATAAAACTATCAAATGATCTGTTAACAGTTTTTTTTTTTTTTTAAAATGAAATAATACTGAAATAAATATGTTCCAACAGACGCTTTTATACTTTTATATTGACAATAATATTCATGACATTGTTCGTGTCAACAAAAGGTACAGATAGTTTAAAAAGCACATCAAGGAACATTGCAGAGGAATTAATATGCGCATAATAATCATATGTTTAACATTCGACCTCACACACTTCTTACAAACAAACATTCATAAAAAACTAACACATCATCCTAATCACTCATATATATATATATATATAAAAAAAATAAAATTTTATGTTTCAAAAATAAAAAATATAAAAAATAAAATTGTATAAAAAATATTGCATTGTATAAGACGTTAACAAGATAACTATATTTTAGATATATTTTAATTATTGCACAAATATTGTTCATATTTTGAAAGACTTAGGTAGCACCATTTTGACAAAAAATTGATAATCATATGAAAAAATTAACAATTGGATTTCAAACTTCTTCTTTTTACAAAGAATAATTAACAAATTGATCAAAACCTGGATTAGAATTTGACTAGAGGTTTACAAAGTTTGGATTTATTACATTTCTGTATTTTCAACAATTATTAATGGATTTCAGTTTGGATAATATTTTAAAATGCGAAACTGATTCAGTTCGCTCAAATTTTGAAAAACACGAAAAGGCAAGTTTTCACAGAATTATTCAAGAGTTTATCAGAGTAAATGGAACAGGATTAGTCGTTCCACGTTAATCCATATTAAAACTAGATTCAGAAATAAGGTCTGTTCACAGAGTAATACCAATATTCAAACTGCTAGGCTGTAATTTAGAAAGGGGAAACATTATACTATTATTATTAAACTTAATAACAAAACATCCGCTTTCAGAAAAATGGCATCATCCTGTTTCATTGCGCAAAAAAAATTTCTTCAAAAAGAATTTTCAACCACAAAATATAAAGCAAAATTAAAGGACTTACCGTAAGTCTGGAAAATAAATAATATTATTACTAAATATTCCAGAAAAAAGATAAAATCAATAAAAATATAAAAACTGTCCTACCTTGATAGTAAAATAATAAAAAATAGATTTCTTAATGACGACGATATTCTCGTTCTCTATCCCTTTCTCTATCTCGTTCCCTGTCTCGTTCTCGATGTCTGTCTTCATGATAGCGATCTCTCTCTCGGTCTCGACTTCTCTCTCTATATTCTCTTTCACGACTTCTAGATCGATGACTTCTACCACGTTCTTTTCTATCTCGGTCCCTATCACGATCTCTGGAACGTGATCTTCTCGGTTGACTTCTGCAGAGAAAAAAAAATTTATTAATCTATGTTTCATTTTTGTGGGTTTTTTCATTCATGTTTCTTAATTTGACTCAAAATATTTCAGTCTAAATAAAATAAGACCAAACTTCCATCTTTTTATCTGCTTTTATTTCTAACATTGCCACTACATTTAGGGTCTTAAGACGGACTTGAACATCCATCTTTTTGATGATACCTCTAGCCAATCAAGTTCCTTTCCTTCCCAACACTGAGATTTTGTGACGAAAATAAAGGTATATTCAGTATCTAATGCTCTAATACAGAATATTTTCACTGTCATGTTTCATCTTTTGGATTTTAAGAGATCTGAGATATTTTTTCTGACATATAATGAGTGAATGAAAGCATTGTTAAATACAGAAATAAAATAAAACATACTTGGAACCATAAGATTTTTCCTCTATACCATGAAGTGTATCTTGTAAAGAACTGATTAATATTTTACATCTATCATCTGAGGCTATTTTAGATTGTTTTATTAATGATATGGCTGTTACTAGTGTCTCTATAGCACTAGCAAATTCTCCTGAAAAATACAAAACATACGTTATTTCCTTGGCATTGGGTATGACATATAGACATATAGAATAACAATCACTAATACATGGTATATAGGCCTATTAATAAACATTGTATCTCTTTGTCTATTAGTAAGTGCCTGAGGAAGATGGAAGAGGCACTGTTGATGTTAGTTATATTAAGGAAAAGTTTTGGTGGACTTTTATTCATGTTAATCGAACCTAATTAATGTATTCAAATGTACTGAACCATGAAAATACTTCTAATAACAAGTTAGTTAGTCTACACCTTATTGTGTTTTATTCTTTCACCATTTCATCTGATGACATCAAGTGTAACTTGTGTTGAAACGTTATATACCCATGTATTAAAGAGGTGTGTTTTATCCTATAATTATTGTCTTGTGTTATATGTGTGGGCCTCGTTTCTAAATGTTGTTCAAATCTTACATAACAAGCTATCCTGATGAGAACTATTTGTCCAAAACTCTTGACAGGACAGGACACAGATAAGCTTTCATCAATGAATGAATTGGACAATCAAGATGTAGGCTACTGATGAGGATAGTACTATCTAAAACGTGTTTATGAAAATGAAGAAGAGCTTTCATGAATTTGATTAAAGTATTTTTACCGGCACTGGCATCAGATACGGCTCTGTTAATAGCAGAACTTGAGACAGTCTTATTTCTCTGGAATATTTCCTCAAATTCCTGTTCAGTAAGTGCAGGCGCTGGAGGCTCGCGTTCCCTTTCTCTTTCCCTAGACCTCTCTCTGTCTCTTTCCCTGTCTCGATCCGAGGGTGGGGGTCGGCCATAAGGATCAGGGTAAACTGTGGGGGGTGGTCTACCATATGGATCTGCAGCATTCGGTATAGGGGGAGGCTGAAATATCAAATCAATTCATTATTTAACATAAACACTAGCAAAAGCTTGTTGCCGACAAAATAAAAAATACAGATTAATATGATAACAGACGGTGAAAGGGGACTAACTGTGCAGTGTGCAATAGAGGGAACAGTAATATTTTATTTCAAATGAAATGTAGTTTTACATGCTACTTTTCTGCACCATGTGAGCTAATGAAGACGGGCAACGCCATGCAGAGTGCAATGAGGGAAATTTTGTCAGGACAACGGTATTGGCCTATTAGACTAGACTAGTTTAAGATGATAAATAATCTAATATTGCAAGTTATCACAATGTGCTGTTTACTGATGCAGTGTGGAATAAGGGGAAATAACTCTATTTAATCAATGCAATAAGAGGAATAAGGACAGTTAAATTTGAGTACCTTTTAATGCTCATGCAGTATGCAATAAGGCAAATTATAACACTAATATTTAACTGTCTCATGCAGTATGCAATAAGGCAAATTATAACACTAATATTTAACTGTCTCATGCAGTATGCAATAAGGCAAATTATAACACTAATATTTAACTGTCTCATGCAGTATGCAATAAGGCAAATTATAACACTAATATTTAACTGTCTCATGCAGTATGCAATAAGGCAAATTATAACACTAATATTTAACTGTCTCATGCAGTATGCAATAAGGCAAATTATAACACTAATATTTAACTGTCTCATGCAGTATGCAATAAGGCAAATTATAACACTAATATTTAACTGTCTCATGCAGTATGCAATAAGGCAAATTATAACACTAATATTTAACTGTCTCATGCAGTATGCAATAAGGCAAATTATAACACTAATATTTAACTGTCTCATGCAGTATGCAATAAGGCAAATTATAACACTAATATTTAACTGTCTCATGCAGTATGCAATAAGGCAAATTATAACACTAATATTTAACTGTCTCATGAAGAATGTATTGTGTATAATAATAATAAGTCTAGTACTTACTATGGCTCCTGGTGGAGGGGCAGAACTGTGAGGAGGGGGAAAGAAAGCTGGATTAACATGAGGAGCTGGGGGTGGTACTCCCATATGAGGGGCTGCTGATACAGGGGGAGGAAGTCCTGGTGGCATACCGGGTACAGCTCCCACTGAAAAATACAAATAAATTATAAAAAATCTTGTTTTTACTTCAAATGAAATGTTTATCTTCCTGTCTTTTTAAATCTTTTAATTTTTAAATATCTGAGATTGCCCAAATTTCTAACCTAGTTGGACTCAGAAGCTAAGATTCCATATACTTGTCATGCGGTTGCGTCACGCGTCAAATATGATTCCATATGTGCGTTAAACGTATGCGTTATCTTTCTTTTGACGCACGGACTCCTAGACAGATGGATGCTTTGGTGCATAAAAAAGACAGGGAATCCCCACAAAATACTTCACATTTGGGAGATCTCCGCATGGAAAGGCGCCTGGATGCGTTTGACGCATGACGGAGACCATTTGACGGATACCGCTTCCACATGTATGGAATCATACCCCCTTAAACCAACCATTTTGATTTTTAACGCATGACGGATGACGTGTATATGGAATCTCAGCTTAAGTCCATTAAAGTTTTCAAACAGCAAATAGCAATAGTAGATATGACAAAGCTTTTTGGCTCAATAATCACTGATTAAAGTTTTATGTAACTTACTGTCATGTTACTCCAATGTGAACTAAAAAGGTTATAAAATTTCTACCAGCTTCATTTCAGCTTATTCAGTAATGTGGTAAGAAAGTTTTAATTCACACTGGATCATAAGAATTAAGAAAGTGTGACAACTTACTTGGAACATGTGGTCTGACCCCAGGAGGGGGTACAGCTGTTGGGGGAGGTCCTCTGTGATGAAATGGAGCTGTAAAATTAAATCATATAATTATTAGCCTCATAAAGAATAGGTCCAGTCTCAATAATAAATGAAGTTTCACCAACTTATTTTGCCATTAATATCATACTCTAAATTGTTTCTTCAACATGTTAATCCCTTCACCTCAACCACCCAAAACATTTTTTCAGGAATGAAAAGAGAAAGCCCACAATGAGTGGACAAGATAAAAGGAAAACTTAATAAGGTGGAATAACTTTAACAATTCACTTCATATGGGGCAGAAATACATCTGATATCAGACAGTTTATAATAAACTTTATATTATAAGAGAAATACTTCAATCAATTCTTAAATATCTCATCTTTAATACAATCATAATTGAATCAAGTTTCTGACTAGTTTCTGACAAGTTTCTGACTAGTTTCTGACAAGTTTCTGACTAGTTTCTGACTAGTTTCTGACAAGTTTCTGACAAGTTTCTGACTAGTTTCTGACAAGTTTCTGACAAGTTTCTGACTAGTTTCTGACAAGTTTCTGACAAGTTTCTGACAAGTTTCTGACTAGTTTCTGACAAGTTTCTGACTAGTTTCTGACTAGTTTCTGACTAGGTGTTAAATACAAACTGAAGTCTTAATGATAACTAGTGAACAGGCGCTTGATAGTAACAAGTTATTATTCAACAAAAGAATTCTCCTTGTGTAAACTTATAAAGTCTCCAGTGACTGGACAGTAAATACATACAGAAAACTAGTTATTCACACAACCCAAATGTAGATTACCAAGACAGAAAAAGAAAAGGACAAAACCAAAAGAAAGCCAAGAATAATTAAGGTATATAATAATACCTGTAGTTGGAGGTTGATTTATTAGTGGAAACAGTAAAGGTGCTAAATATAGATATTAATTTTTTATTAGCATTGGAGTATTTCTTTAAAAGTAATTTCAGGCCATATAAGGCAATATGAGGTTTCAAAGGTCACCCACGATTAGTATCTTTATCAAACATCACTGGTTCAAATTTAAGAACACTGGGAAATTGATGAGGAATTTATTTTATAAAAAGTAAATCTTGAGAAAAATGTTGTCCAAATAAAGTGGTTAAAAATCCAATGGTGAAAACTCACCCACAAGTTTTAAAAAAAAGGAAAATGATCCTACCTCCTGGTGGCCTCTCCCACTCTGGTCTGGGTGGGGGTCCTCTTTGTCCAAATGGAGGCGGTCCCCTGGGTGGTCCTTGTGGCGGTCCTCGGTTTGGTGGCATGCCCATCATATTTGGTGGCTGAAAAGAGAAGAAAAGTTATAATCATTGTTGAAATGACCCTTCTAAAAATACTGATAACCATGGCTATTTCAATTTAACATATTTAACATTTTACTGGGGTTTGTGTTTTGTTGCCTTGAAGTACATTTAATACTGACTTTCTCTGATGTCTAACCTTACATATTTATAAGCATTTTAATAAAAATATAGACAAATTAAATAAAAATAGGTGTTTTTTTTTCACTTTAAGTATATATTGAACTTGAAGAAAGAAAGAATTTTAAGATAGACAAAAGAGATAGTAGGAATAAAAAAATATGTTCTGTACCCTGAAGATACTGACCATTCTAGGTGGAGGACCTGCTCTGGGTGGTGGAACATGATGTGGTGGTAGACCTGGGGGTGGACCAGTTGGAGTGAAGGGGGGTCGTGCACCTGAAATGACAATAATAAAAGAATTTATTGTTCGGCAAAATAAAAGGCCAACTTTATATCCTTCGAAATGAAATGCATTAAGTAATATTGTTCTGGAAATGACAATAATAAAAAAATTGAACATCATAAACAGGCAGGGCAAAACTTCATTTAACACATAAAAGGGGTCTCGTTTTTTCTGAATTATTATCAAATCTATGATTAAATTTTAATTAAAGTAATAATTTTATAATGTTGATTATTGTACTCAGTGAAATAAAATCCATGAATAAAAACATGTGGTCAAAACAAATGTTGTTCATGAATCCAAAACTTCATTAATTTCAAATTAAACATCATGGGCTGTTACTTCAACAATCTTTTCATATTTCTATTTATGTTAACATTATTTTAATACATTTGTAAAAAATAATACATTTGCCTACCATTAACAAAATTAGCTGGGGGTCCTGGCATGGGGGGTCCAGTATGAGGAGGACCTGCTACCATTGTTGGAGGTCGAGCCATTCTGGGGTTAAACTGGGGTCTGGCTGCAGGAATACCAGGGCGTGGCATCCTAGCATTTTTATCTACAAAACAATTATTAATATTTGTCAAGTTAATCAATATGAATAATCAACAACCGTTCTAACAGGATATCTTATTTTGAGTATCAGAATTGGTAAATTTTGTCAATAAAACATCAAGAATTGTTTTATCATTCTAAATATAGCTGTTTCTCATTCTACAAGGTCCGTCTTAACAAAACAGCCAATAACCTGAGATTTTCTTATCTTAGGCAAATTTTGGAAAGATAACCTTTACAATTGATTATTTTACTGAAAGCACCAGACTCTAGACTCATTTACATAAAAGCTTTGAACTTTTGGCTAAAATATTCTGGACAGAAAGCATAAGTGAGGGATATCTACCCCATCTATTACTCAAATTATCTTACCATAAAACATTGTATTAGGTGTTGAATCAGCACTGTTTCTTCTGTCTTCCGTAGCAGCTGCCCCTCCAGCACCTTTCCTGGCTTGTGCTTCAAAATTACTTAATGCTTGTTTACTATAGGGTGTAATCTGAGGAGCTTGCCCATAAAATTCTTTCCTGGCTAATTTCTCAAATATTAATCTGGATGAGGCTTCAGAACCAACTGACACTAGAGCAAATCTGAAGTTAGATAAATATATTCGTTTCGCATTAAAGTCAAAATAAATGTTCTCATGAAACTCTCAAACCAGAAAATCCTCGACGCCCATGGATTTGAACACTATTACTGATTAGATTAGCTAAAAAATTCATATTCCTGAGACTAAGGTACGATTGGTTAAATAGATGACAAACTTATCCCTATAAGTATTTTTTAAAGAATAAGTTGAGATTCTGTAAGAGTTATTTACCTTGATACCAGTATATCGCCCAATCTGACTATAAACCCTTTCAGTACCTGTATTATCAAAATATAACTTACCCTTTCGACTGACCATTCGCTCTGTTTTCATAAAATTTAACCTCTAATAAATCTGATACTCCAATAGACACTATAGCGTCACTCAAATCTTCATCAGTTGTCCACTAAAAAAGGGGGATAAATCACTTTACAACCAAGTTGGTCACCTTCGCAAGTTGAAGCATTTGTCGTATGGACAGGCTGTCAACACAGTTGGTTAGAGCTATCCAGTGTTGAATATTTACATGATGTAATTTGCTAGGTTATGTCAGTCCTGTTACCTGTTAGGGCTGGGTATCAATAAGTAAATTGAGATGGATTATCGATGTCAGACTACTGATCAATAATCGATAAATAATCAGAATAGTTCATTTAGCTCTCTTCATTATTTCTGTTAACCCAGATGATAGAATGCGATGAAAAGCTCAAGATAATATATCTTTATTTTGATTTTTGATAGTCTCGATGGTTAGGATACCATTGGTCAAAACACTGAGAAATTAACTGTAAAAGGTAGGTTGTTAAAAACTTACCCAAGTAAGGTTTCCAACATATAACATATACTTTTTACCAGTAAAACCAGAAGTTGTTGGGAGTGTGGTGGAGCTGGTAGAACTATCTCCTTTATTCTGTAAAAAAATAAATTTATAATTGACTGCCCTGTGATGTGTCCTAAGTTTGCAAGTTTCTTGTAACTTATTGGTATTATCTTAGTAGATATAGTAGAGTAGATAATTTGTTGTATTCAAAACTTTCTTTGCGCAGCTCCAAGCTTTATTTGGGATTAAAACTAAATCAAGAAGAAGGCAAGTGGAACTGTTGAATAAAACTTAGTGTTGAGTTGAGAACATTAATCACTATGGCAAGCAGAAAATCATATTAACTGCATGGCTTATCACTGATCAGTTAGGCCTTATCAGACTATCGGTATATTTAAGAAATTATCATTACAACTCACGTGAATTTCAGCAGGATCTGAACTTGATGGTGCTGTTATAACATCGTCATATAAATCATCACCATGGGAAGTAAACTCTGCTTCCGGCTAAAATAGGACCAAAAAATACAATGAGTGAATGAGATATTTGATTGAAAAAGCCGATTGCAGTGCATAACAAAGGGACACAAGAATTGATTACCCTACAATACACATTCAGCGTCTCTTCAATGAGCATTTCCTTACATGATGCTAGGAATCAGATAAAGCCTTAATTAGTTGACTGGTCGTATAGCTTCCGGATAAAAACAAAGAAATTCCTTCAAAATGGCGGCAGACTAAATACAGAGAAAATGCAAATCATCTTTTCTGGTTGCAATGCGAGTCATTTGCAAACGATTTCGTTGCAAAAGTGACCTTGGCATAAATCGAAGGAATCGAAATAAAGAAATCCAAGATACCTGCGTGAATTCTTCGTCTAAATTTGCATACAAATCTATATCCACGCCGTCTCCCATTTTCTCAAGCACCTTCCATTAAAACTAACGCCCTCTGTTACAAAGGAAAGATGACTCTAGATACTCATTGTGAGATTAAGACTACAGTTAATTCTTACATCCGTCACAATGTACCCATAGTTGTACAAATGAAATGAAATGAATGGAGTTTTACATCCTACTTTTCTGCACCACGTGGGCCAATGAAGACGGGCAACGCCATGCAGGGTGCAATGAGGGAAATTTTGCCAGGACAGCGGCATTAGCCTGCTCTTTTTCGATTTCCAACTGTCGAGGGATCTTTAACGTGCACAGCCTGTAGCACACGGGGCCTCGGTTTATTGTCCATAGTTGTACAGGGCCCAACATGAAACTGAAAACACACATAACTATAACCTGTGATAAGCTATATTATGTAGCAATATTTTGGGACAGGGGGATAAGGAATCAAGTAACTAATAATATTTCATTGTGAGTGTTCATATAGAATGATGTAGCCTGGGACAAATTTTAATGATATTGTCTTTGCTCGCATGATCCTTAAAAATGGGTTCCTTTATTTTCATAAATGTAAATGCTAATACTGAATAATGAATAGAAAGTAGAGGTGTTCTAATGACTTGGAAAATACCAGTTTGTCTCATATGTCTATAATTAATTCATAATTAGCTAAATTAGATTGATTTACGATTGGTTAAAACTCTTAATTATATGCAATAAGAACATAATGATATGATTAAGAATAAATGATAATTCATTAGAAACACCAATTAATCAAATAGTTTGCTTAATTTGACACTAAAAAATAAGAACATAATGATATGATTCAGAATAAATGATAATTCATTAGAAACATCAATTAATCAAATAGTTTGCTTTATTTGACACTAAAAAATAAGGAAACCTATCTTTAAGCAACGGTACGATATTATTCATCTATCTATATATTGATATCGTATCGTTGCTAAAGGAACATGTTAATCTAGTTGACCTAGTGGAATATTACGAAATTAAATTAACTGTTCTATTCAACGATCAGTCAACAAAAATATAAACATCATAAACACAACAACAAAATATTAGAAAATAAACACTATTATAGATATACTACTCCTATTTATAATTTTAGCAACGTTTTAATTCACGTATAGGAATCTTTATCAAGCTTACAACAATACCTTATAGACAAAGGGCCATATGCAGCGCTCATACTTTACCAAGTCGATCTTTAAGTATGCACCGGTCAATCTTTATGAAAGTCTTGCTTAAAATTGACTATCAAGTGTAGAAAATGAAAGCCTTAATCCTAACTTTGTAAAGTTCAACTTTAATCAAGGTAAGAGCGCTGCATACAGCCCAAATGGTTGTGACATATATAGGCCTATAGGTCTACTTCTAAATGTCATTTAAATAATATAACAACAAAATAATTCATTAAAGAAAAATAAATTGGTTTGTAAGGAATTAAATCTACTCAGAGAGAGGTTTAACCCTGTGAAATCATTTCGGGTGTTGTTTTTTTTCTTTAAAACTAATTTGCTATCTATCTAACTTTTTTAGAAGTAAAAATTTTGTTTCACATTTACATTTTACATTTTATTTAAATTGACGAGTCGTCTTTTTAACATTCAAACGCAGATAATTCTTGAAACACATGGATTCTGGGCTCAAATTTAAACGGTTAGCTGTGAACACTATTACTGATTAGCTTAGCTAAAACAAGATCAAGTTTCTGAGATTAAAGCATAATTGGTCAAGAAAATGGCACATCTGTCCCTTTAATGAGAATACTATGTGTGAAAATCCCTTTGAAAGGTGAGTTAATCTTTGATTAGCCTGCTCAGATCTTACAATAATTTGGCAAGTCTTTTGTGAGTTACGGTCCTTGACGTATAGTATTGCACTACAGAATACGTGTTTGTTGTCGTATATTTACACCCCGTGGTAACTGGATTACTGTCTGACTATGTTGAGCTCTGAATTGAATTTTTTCTCTAATTTCATAAATATCCCCCCCAAAAAAATGTCCAACTGTATACCATTGTTCTTAGAATGTCCTTGGGTTCGTAGAAATATAAAGTTCAGTGATTTTACATTTTAAATAGACACATTTCCCTCCTAGAAATTCGAGTGAAAATTACATCCTTTCTGACTGGAAACTCCCCTGTAAAATCATGTTTACGAATAATAACTTTTCCAGTGGTTAACATTTTCATCAACCCAAAGACAATCCACGATTCTCAGTAGTATTTCTTAGTTGATATTTCAATTCATAAAGAAACGATTTGCAAAATTCAATTCAGATATCATTGTAGTCAGAGAGTAGTACTAATAGCCTTGTTTTCTTATCTTTTTAGATGTATCTGAAACAATTTCACTCCCACCGATTCATTCATCAGGATCATTCTGTCACCATCGGATTTCTCATTAAATTTGGCATGAATAGTAAAAGTGTTCCCAATACATATACAATGCTAGAAAACTATTCAACTCCTAGAAACAGATAGCCTACTCTTTATCAATTCAACGAGGCTCACAATTTCAGAAGGGCGTCAGTAAACTTGACTTTCTGGTCGTCTCTTAAATTAAATTGTTCCATCATATCGTCATAGGATTTCTCATCAAACGGATCACTGGTCTGACATGCTGTAAATAATTCCCATAATACTGGTCCGTTCACATCTCTAAATTCTCGAACATTGATCCCAATTTGAAGACCTGTCAACCACTGTGAGACGTCTTTTTTTTTCATTTCTTTAAACCTTTCAGGCATAGACAAACAATTATTCTCAAACGAAGACGAGTCAGGCAATTTGTTTGTTGTCGGAGCCTGGTCTAAACTCCCTGAACACGAAGTTCTATCATAGGAAGACTGTTTCCCGATTTCTCCTACACTTTCAAACGAAGTTCTGGACACGTCCGAACGGTCCGACAACATCGACACTTTTGATTGTCCCGATAAGCTCCCCAAACTTCTGGTATTTCTTAATCCATGATTCCGAGAAAATCGAATTGATTTTTCTAGCAGAAGTTTGGAGAGATCTTGAACGTAAAATGGACTCTCGATAAAGTCGAAACGAGGTTTATCTCTGAGTTCTTGATAAACCCAACCCATCAATGGGATGTTTCTGTTAACAAATACTGCTATTATATCCATATGAAGTTTCTGAGCGATGTAAAATATAGTCCTAGAATCATAATCAATTTCAGTGAATTCCGAGACACAGATGAGTAAACAGTAGCAATTCTGCATCCACGACACAGCCGTCTCGAAATATTTTGGATCATTTTCGCCGAAGTCATTTAGATGTGCCGAGACATTTTCAGTTCTCAGCTTGTCATAAAGTTTCTGAGCAGCGTCCATGTTGTTCGTGTGGTAGACAATTCGAGCGACCGACGTCGAAGAGGCTTCACTGCTCTCTAACGAGATGGAGCGAGGGAAATATCGTTCTCTGAGTATAGTCAATACCGCGTTCAGTCTGCGGAGTAGCTTCAAATCCTTGTCATTTCGCTCTTTCAGTCTCATGGTTTTCACTATTTTGTGACTTTTGATGAATTCTTCGAACTCTGAATCAAAACACAGAACCCAGATAATCTCAACTGTTTGATTTTGTTCCGATAATGAAGCTGTTTTGATGATTTGATGAAAGGAATATAACACGTTGCTGTCACAGAATCGACTAGCACTGCCGAAATTCGCTAGAATCCAAATCGCATCAATGGCGTCTTGTAAGTGGTACATGGCATTCCAAGATGCCGGGTCGTTGAAAATTTCGAAGGATTGGTTTATCCAATAGAATAAATAAGGAACAGTTTCTCTACTTTCAGTTTCTCGTTTCGCTTCACATCTATTACATATAAGCACTGATCCGATAATCGCAAAAACGGTTAATTCTTCAACCGTTCTTATACTATTCAGATGTGTCAAGAAACATTTTCCGAGGTTCGCTCGTTCTCCACCTACGTTTTTCGCCAAGTTTTTCACTAAGCACACGGTAGCTTTAATGATGAAAAATGGTTTCGAAGTTTTGTTCTTGAGCGCTGTTTTATCTGTAAACTGTTTAAAATTGTCCTGAAGAATCTTTATAATACCTGAATTTACTAAACTTCTACAAAAGTCTTCGCTATATTTCGAGAAAAGGCATAAACAGTCTAACAGTCTACTGGATGTTTTCCACAAATCTGCATTGCCCGTTAATTTACCACGAGAGAAATACCCAGCCGATTTGAGACCTTCCAGAATATTGACAAGACATTTGGTGTGGTTATCCCCATTCACATTGTGTATAATACCCAAGATGTTCTCCCTCGAGGTCGAACTGATGTCCCACAATCGTCTAATACACGAGCAGGCCTTCACAGGATTCTTTTCATAACGCCCCAGTTCTTGAAGTATGTTGGTGATATCTTTCTTAACATTGAATGACAGATCTGGAATTCTCTCACCCCCCAGAGACAATGTCGACAGACACAGGATTTCAGCAACCGAGGAATTTTCTTCCAAATTATTGGTATTGGACTCCATTTATTCTCCTAAAAAAAAAATAAGACACAATGACTTTTCTAGAAAATATTAGTTTTAGGGGGTCGAGCAGGGGCCGCAAAATTTTCCCAGGGTAGGAAAGGCTGGGGGGGGGGGGGGGGGGGGGTCATATAAAATCTCTCTGGAAAGAAATTTGAAACTGCGGTGCCAAAGTCGGTAGTGCTTCTCTCCCAGTCTCTGATAGATATTTTGACAGATGTCGTACAGTTGTCAAATTTTTTTAGCTAAACGATCTGAAAGTACTGAATATATAATGTTTAAATTCACATTTGTGGAGGTCTCTAGCTGTTTTCCAACCTAGGGTAATGTTATCCCTGAGGTATCCCTACCAACAGCACCACAAGGTATCCCCTGAAGAAAATTCTGACAACCGATCCATTTCATTACTGCAACACCATACACTATTGCCCCTCCAGATATATAACTTGCCCCTCCAGATATATAACTTGTCCCTCCAGATATATAACTTGTCCCTCCAGATATATAACTTGCCCCTCCAGATATATAACTTGCCCCTCCAGATATATAACTTGTCCCTCATGATATATAACTTGTCCCTAATGATATATAACTTGTCCCTCCAGATATATTACTTGTCCCTCATGATATATAACTTGTCCCTCATGATATATAACTTGTCCCTCATGATATATAACTTGTCCCTCCAGATATATAACTTGTCCCTCATGATATATAACTTGTCCCTCATGATATATAACTTGCCCCTCCAGATATATTACTTGTCCCTCATGATATATAACTTGTCCCTCATGATATATAACTTGTCCCTCATGATATATAACTTGCCCCTAATGATATATAACTTGCCTCTCCAGATATATAACTTGCCCCTCCAGATATATAACTTGCCCCTCCAGATATATAACTTGCCCCTCCAGATA